TCCATAAACCTCATTTCAACTCTAGCATTGCATATTTGCGATGCTGCCTGTCGAAAAAAGCTTTTATACATTCTCAGTTTAATGCTTCTTTCTGCTGCCTATCATGCAACTTTCACTAAATATTACATATAATTTCATTGTGCGTGCAAGATGCACCTATTAGTATCACAGGCAATCCCCATCACGAGTTATATGACAGAATTAATGCTTGCTACTTGTTACCATGGGAATCTTTTCTCCATTACCTCCTTCCATCCCACACAAAGGGAAATGTGGCATCAGCCTTTTTACAGTCGGTCCTTACACACAATGAGCAGCAATTTAGTTTCACATTTCACATTTGAAAAAGCTGTGCCTCCGGATCAATTGTATTTGCAGTAATTGATCAGGGAAGCATTGACCTCTGTGTGCATATGAGATGAAGACCTAGGAATAGCCAGCTATTGAACCAAAGAGCTCTCCGATATTGCATGTGTTTCAGATTGGTGTGTTTGAGGCTAGCTAAAATCAGCTGTCAGAACATAAAATCACGGCCTGACCGCCTTCACCGAAGGTTAGACAGAAAGGCGGGAGGGGGAATCTGGCGCTATGCGCGCTGATAAAGAGACAATATGCTTATCCATTCAGAAGAAATCGATAGACAGAGGAAGGGGGGATGGCGAGGGAGAGATGGAGAGATATCCTTGTCGAGTCAATGTTGCGTTCGCGCCCTGAGTCTTTGAAGCAATTTGCCAGTTTTGGTGAATTTTGCTTCAGCCATCTCTGTCCACGAATGATGCTAACAGTGATAAAGTTCCTTCGTGTCTTCAAGAACAGAAGAGTGACTGCAGGGTGCATCCTGTTGATGAGGAGGGTCATTTACAGAACAGACTTCATGTTCCCAATTTAGCTGAGCAGGAGCTGGAGATCATCAGCCCATCTGCCGATGGTCACTGCAGAACATTCGTTACTTCAGCAGCTCTATGCAGCATCTCTCTGATTTGCTCCTGTATAAAGCCTATGCAGTTTACATCAGCAGGGTAAGGGCGTGTTTCAAATCCATCCCCGGTTTAGCAGAAAGAGTGAATCACTGAGTGAATTAAATTTCAGAAAAACGCTGATGATTCACTGTCGACCTGCACCGAGACTTCAAGGTGCTGCGCTGTAACGACGCTCTATCAATATGCCCCTGAAGCCAGGAAGGCTAAAGTTTTGAGGACTTTTTTTGAGGTGTCACCGTGACACAACCGACATCAATACATCCTGCGGCTGGCTAACAGGACAGCGATCCGCTCATTGAACCAAAAAGCAGTCTGGCACCAGGCACAAATCTCTATCCCTCTCGCTCCTTCGCTGCCTTTCTGAGTCTCTCCTCTTTCTTGTTCTGTACTTACATTTTGGCAGTCACAGGAGAGTTTTAATTTGCAGCCCATTTCTCTCTTTAATGGCAGTGAGTGTGTGGGTGGGTGTATGCGTATGCCTGTACAGTAGCAGAGAGAAGAAAAAGATGAGTCAATGATGCCAGCATACTAGTCTCAGGGCCCTTCCAAAGTCCTCCATGTTTTTAATCACCAGCAACTCTAACATCTAATTAATCATTAACATTTCTCCTGCTGATCCTTAACCCTCTGGGGCCACCTTGAAGAACATCTCTCTCACACATAATCTTTGTGTCTGTGTGTGCAAATATAGTACGTGTCTATTTCAATTGTGAGGCAGGTGGCCAGGGCAGTAGTTAGGATAGCAATTATTGTAAGTGAGGGTGATCACAGACTAAAAAACCCCACCTCCTGCTCTCTGAGTGTGCTGACCAATATAACTTTTACACGAGCGCATGTGAGGATTGTTTTCCCAGTCTTCATTTACTGTACTGTATTCATCTTGTACGCGATGCGGATAAGCATAGCTTGTTTGCCTTAAATTGTCCGATTAGCTCTGATATTCTTTTCGAAACGAGTGATGTCAGCGTCGCCTTCTGTCAAACCCAACAGCCAGTTTTCCAGGCATCATTAAAAAAAGATTCAGTCTGGGGTCTAATTAGATTTTTTCATCCAAAGTGTGAAAAAAGGGACTGTGTGCAGGAGAGAGGATATTCCTCAAACTACTGTACTGAACAAACATGCAAAAAAAGAACAAACTTTACAGGACATAATAAAACATCGAGTTCTCATCAGGACTTAGAGACTTAGGCTAATACAACCTCAGGTGAACAAAAACACATGACATATTACACCGTGTCATTAATTGCTGAACAAAAATGCAGAAGAAGTACGCAGCATGGTTCAAGTTTTATAATCCTTCTCTGTATGACGTTCTCAGTCTCTCACATTGTTGTGGAGAACTTATTTGCAGGCATTTCTTCATGCACAGCTCTCTTAAAGTCCCGCCACAGCATTTCAATCAGGCTGGGACCTAGTGCAGGTCTCACTAGGTGATCGTGCATCACAGCGCCACTGGCACACCTTGATTCTTTTTTCTGGTGCAGATTTGCTCTTGTTTTGGGGATCACTGCCCTGTTGCATTACTCAATTTTGACTGCGCTTTAGCTGTTAGAATGATGGCCTCACATTTGACTCTAGAATACTTTGTATACAGAGGAATACACGGTCAGCGACCGCAAAACAAGCCCAAATCATTCCCCCTTTGAGCTAATTATTATGGCCAAACATCTCCATGTTGCTCTTGTCTGTCTGAAGCCCATTGTTCCAGTCTTTAGAGAGGAGATGCTTTCTCCCGACAACAACTTCAAACAACCCAGACTTGTTCAGTCTTTTCAAACTTCACTGCCATGGACATTGAACATTTAACATGCTACCTGAGGTCTGTAAAGTCTGAGATGTGGCTCTTGGGTTTGTGCAGAGCATTGCATGCCCTGACCTTGGTGTGAATTTGCTGGAACATCCACACCCGAACAGATCGGCAACTGTCTTGAATGTTTTCCACTTATGAATAATCATTCTCACTTTATAATGATGAACTTTGGCTGGTTTGACTTTGGTTTTGGAAACGCTCTAACAACCCTTTGCAGATGGTCAGCAACAATTGCTTCTCTAAGATCATTGCTAATGTGTTTCCTTCTTGGCATCCTTCTCCAGACCAGCAAACTGCCCAAACTGCTGCTTTTATAGAGGTGCTCACACTTGCTGATGATAGATTAATCAAGTGCATTTGATTAGCAGCACCTGTCTGGTGTGGACTTAGTTTTTCACTCTGCTATAGTCTTTGTTAACTAAATGGATGACTAAATGTAATATCCCATATTTTGTTGTTAATCTGATGTTGTATTTATCTTATTTTAGGTACAGCTAATGACTGCAAGGTCAAACCTTAAATTTTAAAGAGGCTGTATTTTCTTTTTTGACTGTTGCAGCATTACATTTGAACATGCCAAGCGGTCAACTTTTAAACTGATCCTGTGCTAGACAAGAATGATTACAATAATGAATTTAGCCTCTTGTGAACCTAGCCTTCAGCGAATGCACTGAGAGTTGTTTTAACGATGGCATGTGTCCTCAGCAAACACACATTTGGCTGTTACTAAGCAGATGTCGCCTTGCTGTGCAGCCGTGTGGTGTTTTACAGGCTTTAAGCTGGACGGTGGTGTGACAGGTCTGTTAGTTAAGAGATGGCCAAGAAATTTGCCCCATCATCTAAGTGTTTATGGATGAGGCGGTGTATCTCTTCCACCTTTAACTTCCGTTTCCATCCTCATAGTGTTCTCTCTGCTTCCTCTCACTTCACATTCCTTTTCCTTCCCCGTCTCTGCTCATCCTCTTTTTTTCCGCCTCCTCCGTCCTCATCTGCACTTTCTCATTCTCCTTTTCTCCGATCCTTTGTGTTCACTTCCTCTGCTCCTGTGCTCAGTGCATACAGACAGGCGTGGACTTCACTGCCAGCAGTGATTTATTCTGCTTAGGCAAATGAGTGTGGCTTACAGCACGCTGCTCCTTTTCTGCTTCATCAGTACACATTGCAAATAACACTGGAGCAGGTTGGAGCCTGTAGGCACACACACACATCCTGAAATGGATCTAAGAGAAATGCTGGAGGGGTTCTTCTGCAACACAATGGGGTGATGTGATTCATTCCTGCGTTCTGGATGTAGTGGAATGTGTAACTGAGCATGAGACTATGCAATTCATGCCCTCATGTAATTACTGTTTTCGCAGTGGCATCCCAAGCAGGGGTCACACGCAGAAAAATTACCTCTTATGGTCACTTAGTCACTAGAGCTGGAAGTACGACCGAAATCAAAATATTTTTCGCACATTTGCACAGCATAACATGACTCACATTACTTTAATTAACAGTTTCTTACTAATTTGAGCTGCATGACAACATTTTTCATCTTATAAACTCCTGTAGTTGGAATTTTTGTTGAATTTGCTGAATTAAAAAAAAAGTTATGACACATGTCATTGTGTTTGGGAACAGCTGTAGAAAAAGATTCTTCTTTCAAGACTTTATTTTGATTAATTTCTGTGACTCTTTCACAAGTTCAAATGGGTTTTGGGTATCTGCACAACATTTTTTATGAACGTAAAGAAGCGCAAAATGCAAATTAATAAATGCTCTCTTCGATCACATCAATGCTGTCATTGCACTTTTGTGCCACTTACAGGAAAACATGACAACACCAGCTGAAATGGCATGAAGCTTCCTCTGGAAATTACATTATTATCTGAACGGTGCAGACTGACTGCACAGCACCTCATAACTGCAACCACAGGACTTTTATTTGATTTGTCCAGTAGCGACTGAAATAAATAATGAAAAACATCGAGCTATGCTATTTCAGTATTCCTGAATCTGGTCACACTGTCGAGTGAAATGCGACACAAAAATGTTTTTAGAATAAAGCACGAACGGTTGCTACTTTCGCTAAAAATAGAGAAGGCAATGACGAGGCAATGGGGAAATTCTGTAAACTTCCACATAAACAAGAGAGAATTAATTTATAATGGGTTCGTGTGCCTCAGGTGTTAAAGTGAAAGGGAGAGGAGGTGCTGCCCCATGGATACCTGTGACCTGGTCGACAAGGATACGGGAGGTGATGATGCGTCCGTACTGGGAGAAGAGCTGCTCCAGCTCCTTCTGGGTCATGGTCTTGGGCAGGCCGCTCACATAGAGGTTAGCGTCACGGATGGAGGCTGAGCTGGGTCGCGCATATGACACCTTTGGGGAAAAGAACACAGTGTAAGGGCTTTTATAAATAAGTTAGAGCTTTGCTGCTTTATTACGCATAAAAATCATAAACAAGATTATAGCATTAGAGGTGCGAGGCTTTTATGTGCGCGTGTGTTGCGGATGGGCAAGGATGCGGATCACTGGATCCACAGGGAGGAAAATGTGACTGCGTTTTCTGAGTACACCTTGCCTTAGGGATTATCATTGTTAGGAAAAGATTTAGCTGCTTAGAACACTGGAGAGATAACACTTCATGCCTCCCCCAGTCTTTGCAGAAGGAGATGGAAACTTTGCTCCCCAGAGTAGAAACCACAGGTGTTTTACTTTGAAAAGG